TGAATAGTACTAACAGGTGATACAAGGGGTGCTCGGATACATGGCTCATATGAGCTGCTGCTGCCAAACCTCAGATTTGGTTCCTAAACCGGATTGCCATTCCCAGCTGTTAGATATGCCCTCGACGGCTCGCCGCTCGCAACTCCTGGGCCCAGATATGCCCGTCAAACCGGCTCGCTGCTTACAATCCCTGCACCCTCAGACCCTCCAAAACCAGTTCACCACCACTCTCAACACTCTAAGTCAAAGTCAAATTCAGCTGCTGAAGTACTGGCAGTTGTGTAGGCTGTCTGGTGGAGTGCGTGAAAATGTGAAAAGTTCACGCATATACGAAATGTGTATATGCGACGCAAGCGATATGTAAGCCGACGCTGGCAGGCGGCATGATCGCAATTTGCATAAATGAGTACTGTTACGGGCGTCAGGGGCTAGGCTCCGGTGGGCGCTGGAAGGTACTGGATGTTACGGCTACGGAGGTGTATATACGGCGGGGCCGGAGTCGCTACGGAGGTGTATATGCTGCGGGCCGGAATGGCTACGGAGGCGTATATACTGCGGGGCCGGAAGGACAGCTATTCGGCGTGGATCGCGCAGCGGAGCGGAGCGGTTCACGGGCGTAATAAGGAAACGATAGGTTTCAGAAGTATAGAGAACTTAGAACACCGCTTGTGTCTTGATTCTTTCAACTGTGCTATCGCCTGCGCTTAAATAGACTGAGCACATCATACATGACTAGTCAAGCAAATGAAGAAACAACAATGACGAACACTTCCTTGGCACTTCAGGACAAAGAACCTTCTGCCAAGCCTCACGGGTGATCAGGCCGCTCTAGCAGCATTGGTCTTACGAACAGTTCAGGGTAAGTGTTGACTTACCCCTAGTCGGGTAAGTCTTAGCCGTAACAAGTACTATATGAGCTACGCAGAGGACTAGCGAGTATCTCTAGTCAAGTGTCTTTTTGGCCTGGTGGACGGTAGCTCTCTGCATTTACCACCTCCATTACAAACTCGACTGGACGAGTCCTGGATCGAAATTATCTTACTGCTCGACTATGACAGTTGGATGGTCAGAAAAAATGTAAATGATAATCATATTGACCTTGATTCAGACTCTAATAACTCTCCTAAATCTTCTGTAGATGATCCGAACCAAAGTACTCTGACAGATAGGCTTACTACTAATATACTAGAAGTTAAAGGGGGGGGGGGGGTCAACTACTGATGAGAAAGGAGGAAAATGGCAGGCTAGAGGGCAAGAGAGTGGTAAAAGGGGACGAACTAGGGCTGCAAAAGATACAGATAATAAGATAGTAGCTAGTAAAGTCAATAGTATTATCTGGAGCTACTGACTCTTGGCTACCACCACCCCCTCCTTCTATACTTGAGGAAGTAATTCAGCAAATGCAGCAGCTAGTTTCAGGCCTTGCGAATAGAGCTGTAAGTTATTCTAGCCTATATTTCATATCCTATCATATACTATAGCCATTAATGACTAAACTCTTACTATAGGAAAGATAGATATAGACCTATTGATAGATAATATGCAGAAGGTTGAGGAGGGAGGTAGTAATTTAACATTATTAATGCATATATTGATATAGCAAGTGAACCATTGTTGACAGAATTGACACAATATGCTAGAATTGTAGTATCAGCTATGCTGTACATATAACTGTTTACTGTAAGCTGCTAGCATGTCTGTTACACGAGATATAGCCAAATGTAGTATCTCCAGCAGGCGTGCCAAGAAACATCGTATACTGGTCGACCTAACTTTGGGAAGCGGGGCCAAGGGTAGGAGGGTGGAAGGAGGCGATGGGAGGATTGCTGGGGGAATTCATTTTTTCTTTGCTTTTGTTTTTGCTTTTCTTTCCTAGAGGGGGCAACCCCGTTTCCTATGTAAAGTCTTATACTGCGTATAGTCCCGGAAAATGTGCGATAGCCAGGCACCGTCGGGGACATTAAATAATAACAAGCTAGATCGTATCCCGATATAAAACAGTAGGGTATAGGGTTTGTTTTGAGTGGGAGATAGCTCTAGTTGATATTCCATATCTTCCCCTGTGTTTTTCCTAGGTTGCGTCGTTGCTGCTCCCATGTGTGTTTTTTTTTTATGTATGTGGTCTATATAATGGTGTATAGTTGCCTACTTAGATGGTGGTTAGTGGACTTTGGAAGTTGCAGTGTTCGTATACGGGGAGGGGCTACGGATGGAACTATGTAGGTCTGTGATGTGCTCGACGGAGGATAAGTCTAGCTGAATTGGGCGTGTAGAGAGCGGAGGGTGTACTCTACCTCGTAGATGACGTTGCGGGTATATTGGGGTTATGGGGTTAAGTACGGGGGGGGTGATATATATATGCACGGGGGTTCGATGCGGAAAGTAAAGCTCATGCTAATGCCACTTAATTTTATTTTTTATTTTTTTTTCATTTTAATTTTCATTTTTCTTTTATTTGATTTTTTGTTTTGATTTGTTTGGTTCAGTTGACGTGTGCGGTGTCGTTTTGCTCCCCCTTCGTTTGAGCAATGCCTGTATAAGCAGGTTTTGTAGAAATTGACTGCTTGTTGAACAACAGTTAGGATACCTGGATAGGTAGTGATCTAATATATATATATAGAAACATTGTTTGACTAGACAACGGTATATCGGGGGCGGAATAGATAGAAATGGGTTTCATTCTTTTCATGTCAGAAAAGTTCGGAGTTCCTATACAGTATACAGTGCGTGCCCGTAAGATGGGGAATGCATAGTGGTAAATGTGAGATACTGTAATAAAACCACAATGCTCATTAGGAAGTCAGTCGAAGGAATAGTTTATCGGGTTAGCATATCATAAAACGCCAGCTCGGACACAGGAAGTACGCAAACTGTATTCCCACACCCACGCGTTTTTCCTGTCAACAACAGTCGGGAACCTGAAGGGCAAAAGGAAAAATCGGGAAAAGAAGTCGACAAAAATAAATAGTAGATATTCAAAAGAACGAGTTGAACGAGAGGCCTGAGGCATGGGAACAGTAGGATTCTGCTATATTGGATCGCTAAAATCTGGCACTTTTCGTCCGGTATAGCAAAGTTCTGGTATAGAATAAAATGCAAGGAGGTGAAAAAATTTTGCAAAATTTGAATAATTACTGAAATAGGAAATGAATGAAGTAAACATCAAACTTGTTTACGTATCCAGCCAAAATACATCAATATGCATTGCTCACAAAATCTGGAAAAAACATCGGGCCTTGAGAAGCATCAAATATGTAAATGTCAACTAGAACCAAAGTATGCTAAAGAAAAGTCAAGTGAATTTGGTAAACATTTTCAGGATAAATTGGTAAGATTACTGTACTTTAACTTAACTGTGATATTCTAAGTTTCTAACCTATTATTTAGTGCTGATAAGTAGCTGTATCAACTTTGTCAGATATCTTGAAACAAAGTGATAGGTGCTTAGCAATTAATCTCAGAATATGGAAAAAGAAGCAACGAAGTGCTCAGTGGATGATTTCCCGTCGGCCCAGACGACCAGACCCAGACCTTATCAATGCTCGATCTAGCAGAAAAAAAAATTTCATCCCCCTTTCAAATTCTAGATTCTGGCGGCCCCCCCCCTCCGCCAGACCCAGAACTTTTGAAAACGCGTTCCAAATCAAGTAACTAGTAAAAAAGGAGTTAGGTAACATAGCATAAAACAAAATAAATGCTGCCAACACCAAAATTTCTGCAAATCGCAAATTGTTTTCTACTGCAATGCCTCAACTTATGCAGAAATTGAGCATAAAGCTTTCTTTCATTTCTTTGTTTACACGCATTACACTTTTTAGCTTACGTGACAGCAACGAAAGCAACTTTACTTTAACCTGAGGAGCTTTACTGCGATCTAGTACAACTAGGCAGAGCCTGTGCCAGTCAAAGGGTTGCAAAATGTAGCACTCAAATTTACTCTTTGAAAGTAAATTTTTGGTATCGCGATATGACTAAGTGAAGCGCGACGTTGTTCGCTGACAAATCGGAGAATCTGGGAATCTGGACGATCACGAAACTTGAATTTTGTGGTTGCGACGGGAATCGGGTCTGGGACGGTGGGGTCTGGGTCTGGTCGTCTGGGCCGACGGGAAGTCATCCAGTTTCTACATAAACAACATTGTAGCAAGTGATGGTAGCAGCGGTAGCAGCAGTGGTAGCAGCAGCAGTGATGGCAGCCAAGTGTAAAGTGGGGTAGTCTAAGGTGTATTAGTCTTAGTGTATCCGGTATAGCAAATATTTATTTGTATGGAGACAGGGGGTACTTGTCTCGAGGTTTCTGTGTGGTCCGGAATTGTTAGGGCGTCTGGTATTAGCAAGGGCAATTTGTATGGGGAACGGATGTCGCGAGCAGAGACCATCCGGTATAGCAAGGGTAGACTGTACTTGCATTGGACGGTCCCCAACTTCGGGAGAGTCTGTCGGGGGGGAAAAAAAGGTGACGTGAGTTCTACTGACCTCCGGACTAACGCAGTTTTTTGGTATGATACGTCATTGTCATACGACAGACAGATGCTTATCGATAGAACAGACCAAAATGATTCGAAAGAATGCCATTTTACTTAATTCAATTATTATTCTTCTAATTGAGTGAAAAGATAAGAAAAAGAGCGCTATACTGTAACATTTAATAGAATTATGTATCGGCGTGAATATAGGAAAACGAAACCATTGAAATTAGTAATAAAATTATTTTCATTCGAAAAAGTTTTAGGAAAAACAACGGGCAAAATTGTCGAGCTTTCTTTGCGTTTTGTTTTGTTATTTTTTTTTTTTTACTTTAATGGATAAATATGAACAAGTAAAAAAAAAAAGAAAATTCCACTCGCAGACACGAGATATGTTACTCTACACGGGCGGATGGCTACCTAGTTCATGTTCAAGCGTTCAGAACGACGTTCCGAAATAACGAAGTCATTGAAACGTTCTGCTGTGTTCATATGTATTACTGAGAATTTTAACAACTAAAACCCATCAAGAGAGGGAGCATGGTTTAGTGGTATAACATCTCATTTGCAATCACCCTTGCAGGGTTGGAGACCTTGAGAAGGTCTCGGGTTCGATTCCCGATGCTTCCATTTTTTTTCTCTTTGCTTCCATCCATTTGGATTCTTAGTCCAATTAGGAGATGCTCAAAGCATGAAATACTACCAAGCGTGTGACCTGGCATAGATGTAACTCAGGATCTAGGTGGGCGAAGCCAATGCACGTTTTTTTTTTTTTTTTTTTTTTACATTGACCTCAAATTGATGTGGATACGGAGTATGGGGTGGAAATAGCCTCATAAACTGAGAATGGGGCATAATGCCATATGCCCTCCAGTAATGATCTGATTTGTTCCAATAGGGACTCTTTATGAGGTTGGGACTAGAACATGCAGTTCATCATTATCATTGGATGGATACTATGGATGATATGATATATACTGCGGCTAAAATAGTCGGACCACTCTAGTAATCGTATGCCCGCGAAGACGTGATGGTCTAAGTGCAGACAGTTATGATTAATTGGTGAAGGACAGGATGCTCAGATCCAATGGTATCCACTTGTTCTAGATTTCCAGGGTTTTGGTTCCTGGTATGCCATCAAGATACACACTAAAGATTTCACTGTCCAATCCGCAGAATCCTTGTTTGCGGGGGTGGCCAAGAATCTCTGTCGGCATGATATCGCTGCCTGCTGCCGGCTCCTCGCGATGGGGTAGTGCGAACCAGACTGCGTCAGCGAAGCATGGCAGGGGCATCCATCGTCGTTGTCTTTTAGATCCACAGCCCGATTGAAAAACATACAGAAAAAAGAAGTTTCTACCCACCAACCCCATGTCAACTAGCTACCTACCCCAGGTTCACCCATGATGGAGCACTGGTGGAAAATTGCCCTTGAATTTTCCTTCAACCTGACCTCCAAGCTGTGGAGGGCCGCACGCATATGGTATGCTCCTGTGTCGACACGTTGCATTCCCCGTCTCCGAACCGAACTGAAGCCTGTCGTCGGTTTGTGGATCGGCTGTCTCTTGTTTGGCCTGCTAACCTACCGGGTGTTTTAATACTATGAGCACTCAGTATTGGTTTGTTCCTGCTCTGGTTTGACGTGATTTTTACGTCAACTTACAGGCTACAGGCAGAAAAAGAATCCTCAGCACTTACGCTAGCATTGCAATAAGGGCAGTAAGCATAGGGTTCGGTGCGCTGGGCCCGGTGAAGCTGTCTATCGTAGTTGCACATGCAGCAACCCATTCGGCACCGTCTCACCCAATTACAGAGTCGACAATGCAATACTACTAACGGTATCTAGATCTATATTATAGGCCCTGCGTGACAGCGCAGCTCGCTGGTAATTGGAGGATCTCTTGCGCTACCGCTCGCAAACATAGGTGATTAGACAAGTTTTGCGATATTCACGTTCGGCCTTCAAGCTCGGAGTTGCAGTAAAATCCATTTTTTTTCTCCTTCAATATCCCGTAACCCCGCTTGAAGCTGCTCACCATGGCAGGGCCACTAATCCACTTAATACCCTAACAGGATTAGTTCTTGCATGATATCCTTACTCAAAAAGGGAACTGGAATCGTCATATGCCTTTCATCCCAAAGCAGAGCACACTGCAAGCAATAGCATGGCGCTGTGATCTGCAAAAACGGCCTATCTAGCAGCCCTGATGTGGCATCCGTATCTAGGCTTTAAGAACGTTACCATGGCTCTCCCGGGATTTTGTACCCCAGCAAAAGCAAACAATCCAGATCTATAGGCCGATCGGAAAGTGAGCCTAATGGCCAACAACACAGGATTGCTGTAGTATCTATGCGGAGCCCCGAATTAGTGAATTTGATTGTGGTGCTCACGGTTAGGGACTGGTTGTGTATAAAATGCCAAATAAGGCGATATCTCAAACCTTCTGTAACTGCAGATGTCAGTTCTTATTGCTATCTGTGATCTGTTTACATACAGCATACAACAAGGCCATACTTTTGCGCAAGCAGACATCACAATCATCTTATCAAACGGTTATTTATGTCTACCATGCCTGAGCCTACGCCTGGCGACACGGCCTGCTCCCGGGCACTAGCTATTCCCGAAATTCTGTCTGCCATCCTTAGCCACCTCTCAAGCCCTCCAGATATTCTTATCCGTGCACGGTGCGTCAGCACCTCATGGAAAAAGGTAGTAGACACTTCCCCGGCATGTCTATGGGCGACTTTCCGGTTCGCAGGTGACTATGTTGATGGACCAAGAAAGAAGCCGATTGAGGAGTACATCTATTTATGGAGACAGCTGTGGTACCCTAATTTGAGTGCCGTAGGAAATAACCTAGAAGGTCTAGAGTTCAGAAGCTTCTGGCTTAGGTGGAAGAAGGACTGGGGCATTTTCAGGGGCCGACCGTGGCCTATAAGGAGAGTGTTGGGGAAGTGCAATTGTAGATTGAGAGGGAATGTCATGGTGGAGCAACAGCATGCGGTAGACACAGGGGAAGAGGAGGAAAGAGTTTCTGTACTGGTTTCCCCGAGAGAGGAAGAGCAGGGGCAGAATGAGGACGATGAGGAAGAAAACGAAGCCATATGTTACACCAAAGACCGCTTCTTTTACAGCCTCGCCTCCAACAATTTCGAAGATGAAACGACCCGAGTCGAGGAAGCCATGCACCGTGTCCTCATGCGACGCTTCCGCTACAACAGCTTCACCACCGCTATGCAATACACCTTCATCACCCGTCCTGCGTGTACAAAGATCATTCTTAACTTCTCCCAATTCTATGACCAAGACGTGACAGACCTAGATGAAATTGCACGACAAGAAGCGATCACCTGGCGGTACGCCCTTGAAGACCCGAATGGCATCACGGTAGACAAGTTCATCCGCGCCATTGTGGCCTGGTTCAACGAGAATGAGATTCGGATCGTACAGACTTACTCTTTGGTGTTGGAGTGGGCTGAGAGTGGAGAGAAAGATATCGAAGTGATGCTATTTTGTACACTGGGCGGGTGGTGGCGGTCTGAAAGAACGATGCCGCCGAATGATGTGGTTGAGGAGGTGCTGAGGGAAGTGGAGGATGGCATTGAGTGCCCACCTCCTGGGGATAGCAAATGGAGTGATATCACAGCCCTAGGTGCATTGTCACGAGTTTTCTAGACGCTACCTGAATCCAGCTTCGACTTCTTTGATATTTTCTCCTAGCATCTCATGTTTGTACAGATGACCTTTTTTTACAGCAGATGGTACACAGTTGATTTTCGGCCGGGAATTACTCAGCTTATCAGAGTCACGACTACTTGAAATTTTTACCATATTTAGAAGCATATCAGGTTATATACTTTTATGTTTGCTGTTTGTCATTGTAGTAAAGTTAGGCTTTTTTTTTTCAATATATGCAAATGTGTTACGCTCTTCAACTTGATTACTGGTCGCCATGGGCGGCGAACGAGTAACGATACAGTCAAACCTGTCACATTGGATAATGTCGGAACCAGAGGGTTCTATCCCATAAGACAGGTTATCCGCCTAGACAGGTTTGAGTGAAAAGGACAATTTTCGTGCTATATACATGGAGTCAGAGCTATAGCAGGTAAGTACATGAATAGTAAACTTTACAGGTGCAAAATAATAGATGCCTGTTTCAGAAGGCACTTGAATTGAAGCTTTGGATGCTGTTGAGGATAACAGAATGGTACCGTTCAGTCTCAGTAGGATCTTCGTTCGCACTTCTTTGCCATAGTGTCTACCATGCTATGTACTGACAGCAATCTAAGGTACGTCATCTGTACTTGCCAGTGACATAACTATATGCAAGTTACTAGTACAGCAATCCCACAACAGTTAAAGTTCGTGATCCTTGCTAGTATTCGCACTATTTAATATGACACGTCCAATTACTATGTAAATTTGGGAAACGGGCCAACAAATACTATATGCTATCCATCCAATAATGAAAATATCCATCTACACCGGCCCAAGCTCGGGCCGGCGAAGTTCATTCAATATGACAGGTTTGACTGTATTATGAAAAAGATTTCTAAACAGATGGTCATGTGACTATGATAGAGCAACCTCTATGGACAATATTGCCCGTAACATTCGTCCAATATAGAATCTTAAGCGGTAGCAACCACACGTATTAATAACAGCGAGGATATGTCTATACTTGCGTCTATGTGTCACGTGCCACAGGAATTACTGCAATTAGGATATTGGCCTGTAAGTCTTAAGTATTTCAACGGAAAGATGCTACGCAAATTCACACATCTTTGCCTCACAACGCACTTGTAAATCCCATTGTTTCAGCTGGCACGTTACTCTCTGATGTTTTCGGTTTTCTTTGATTTTCCGAGGTTCATTCCATGCATGTGCACTCTGTTTTGTGAGTTGTATGTAGCGTTTTAAGAAGGTCTGGGCCGCAATGTGAGCCGGCGACGCACCATATGAAGGTCGATGGCCAGTCATATCGGATTATCTGTACACAGGTCGTCTGTTAGATCCTTATCGATCTGCAAGCAATGATTTCTTGCTTGTGGAGTTGTGGAGATCGTGGTTGATCCCGATTGCCATCCGGGGTGCACGTGTTTCTGATGGACCAAGATTGTATCGGTTGGTGTCCCAAAACTAGGGCGGTTAACTAGTGTAGGTGGGCCAAACGAGTGCATTGGCGGTGTCTTTGAGTGTTCAAAAAACATAGGGGGAAGAAGAAAAATAAAGAAAACACGAATGTAAATAAGTAATGAAATTACCAATCAAGAAAACCTTTTATCTTTTTTTTTTTCTAATAAAAAAAACTATTGGCAATGCGTGGCACCCGCACGAGAGCAGTGGTAACCTCTGTCTTGTAAAGCCAACCCCCGAGGTATTTTTTCGCTAATCTATCTCGGAGCTAGCTCCATCATGCGTTAATGACCTGCTGTGTTGAAGACCAATAAAAGGTAAGCTTGGATAGAGTTGAGATTAGGAGCCTCACACAGTCTCGAACCACCACTCGCCACATTAGAGATGAGTGTTTTGCTTGGAGTTGCAGAGATATATATTTCCTGATCTGGTAGTGGGTGATACAAGTTCTCCGACTAGCTCTAATGCTAGTCCCAGGGCGCTATTCCTT